TTTGGGCAATTTTACTTCCGGCATTTTTATCCTGTTTTTCTTTTTGTGGACAAAAAAGAAATGCCATCACAGAAATCTGAATACGCGTCAGATGTCTACCTGAAATTAAGCAGAGTATTAAGCCATATGAAAATGTTCCTAGAAAGAATACTGAAATACCATTTAATATATTATCTCCCATATGGCATTGAATGTTGGGTGATCCCCTCACAATTAAAATAGAAACTTGAAGAGATAGATTCGTTGGTTGATTTTGTTTAGCGGCATATCAACTTCCATGGGTTATTTCGTCGGCACGCTTGGGGTGTTAGGGGTTTGGTCTCGTTCAATCTGGTCTCTCCTCCTTGACCATATCGCTATGGGTGACCCTATATGATTTGGGGCTCTTTAGTTTGAACCTTGAACTTATTAAATTTCTCTTTCTTTCTTTCTTTTCCTTCGTTTTTCTTTTATATCTAAACTATATTTTCCTTCTTTCTTTTCTTTTTACTTCCGTCTTTCCTAAATTTAATTTTATTTGTTTTTTACCTGGCTCCTTGATTTTAATTTCCCGTTTTTCTTTCTTTCTTTCTTTCTTTCTTTATTTATTTATTTATTTATTTATTATCTCCCATATGGCATTAAATGTTGGACAATCCCCTCACAATTAAAATAGACACTGGAAGAGATAGATGGATTGGTTGATTTTGTTTAGCGGCATATCTACTTACATGGGTTCTTTCGTCGGCACCCGCTGGCATCCGAGCATCTAGATTGTCATTATCTCTCCCTATTCCATTTCCCTCCCCTGGTGGCGGAGATGGCAGTGAATCAAAGAGATTGGCTCGGCCTTTCGGGCGAATTTGATTTTGATGGACATAAAGACGCCTACACACTTGGCAAGTAGCGCCTCGCTTGCGGCACAAAAGGGATCGAGACAGGCTAGATTTGGCAAACCTGGTGGCATTTGGCTGTAGGATGCTTGGTCTGTTGATGTCCGCATTGGTTTCGTGAGCCCGACTGGCGCTGCCATCTTGGCATTGGGCTGTACTTGTGAGAACATCTTTTTGTATTTCTTTAAGGCATGGGTTACCAGAAATCCCTTCAATGAGTCTATATTGGAATCTTTTTCAATCAATCCGAGGGCTCCAACTACAACAGGAATTATTGGGAAACTTTTGAAAAAATCGTGATTGTTCATTCCCTTTTCCCTTTCTCACGAGGCCCAGAGCTCCGATTACTATTAGTACAGTCTCAGTCTTCATTCCCCGCATCCTGTTAATCTCGATCTCCAGGGCCTTGTATTTGGGCAATTTATATGCACCCTCCCCTGCGGGAAGTGTCGGAGATGGCTATGAATCAAAGAGAGTTCGGCTCGGCCTTTCGGGCGAATTTGATTTTGATGGACAACTCTACGCGACGGAGACGCCTACGCACTTGGCAAGAAGCGCCTCGCTTGCGGCACAAAAGGGATCGAGACAGGCTAGATCTGGCACACCTGGTGGCATTTGGCTGTAGGATGCTTGGTCTGTTGATGTCCGCCTTTGTTTCCTGAGCCCGACTGGCGCTGCCATCTTGCGCCGGTTTGGCCGTATTGGCCGGCGTATATCCAATGGGAAACCTTTGGAGAAATCGTAATGGTTCTTGAATAAGGCAGACATATTGTAGAAACCTTGTCAAATATTGTGTCTTTTCTTTTCTGAAATTGCGCCCTTCCCTATGTGTTACAAAATATTGGAAGAACATTTTAGTTATTATTATTAGTTATGTTTTCTGCTTTGTATCCAAACTATAGTCCTTAGGCCCTACAGGAGAATTATCATTTAAATGATAGCACTTTTCTTAGGATATGGATGTTTATAATAAGGCGATCTTCTGGGCAACTTTTATGTTGATGTTACCTCGGACACTTAGTAAAATTGTTCATTCATTTTCTCACGAGGCCCAGAGTTCCGATTACTATTTGTACAGTCTCAGTCTTCATTCCCCACATCCTGTTAATCTCGATGTCCAGGTCCTTGTATTTCAGCAATTTATCCGCACCCTCCCCTGCGTGCAGTGTCGGAGATGGCCATGAATCAAAGAGAGTTTAGCTCGGCCCTTCGCGTGAAGTTGATTTTGGTTGACAACTCTAAGCGACGGAGATACCCATACACTTGACAAGAAGCGCCTCGCTTGTGGCCCAAACGTGATCGAGACAGGCTAGATCTGGCAAACCTGGGTGCATCGGGCTGTTGGATGCTTGGCCTGTCGGCGTCCGCCTTGTCCTCGGTTTGGCTATATCGGTCGGCGTATATCAAATGGGAATCAGTACAAATGCCACCTTCGTTTTTCTTTTATATCTAAACTATATTTTCCTTCTTTCTTTTCTTTTTACTTCCGCCTTTCCTAAATTTAATTTTCTTTGTTTTTTTACCTTAAAATAGAGACTTGAAGAAATAGATTGGCTGGTTGATTTTGTTTAGCGGCATATCAACTTCCATGGGTTATTTCGGGACTCCTACTCGACCTTACGCTAAGGGCTGGCCCTACAGGAGTTGTGGCTCCTTATTTGAACCTCGAACTTATTAAATTTCTTTCTTTATTTATTTATTTATTTATTTATTTCCTGTGTATCTTTCTTTCTTTTTTCTTTCCTTCTTTCTTTCTTTCTTTTTCTTTCTTTCTTTCTTTCTTTTTTCTCTTTCTTTCATTCATTCTTTCTTTCTTTCTTTCTTTCTTTCTTTTCCTTCGTTTTTCTTTTATATCTAAACTATAGTTTCCTTCTTTCTTTTCTTTTTATTTCCGCCTTTCCTAAATTTAATTTTCTTTGTTTTTTTACCTTAAAATAGAGACTTGAAGAGATAGATTGGCTGGTTGATTTTGTTTAGAGGCATATCAACTTCCATCGGTTATTTTGTCGGCATGCTTGGAATCTTAGGGATTTGGTATCGTTCAGTCTGGTCTCTCCCCCTCGAACTTACCGCTATGGGTGTCCCTACAGTAGTTGGGACTATTTAGTTTGAACCTTGAACTTATTAAATTTCTTTCTTTCTTCCTTTCTTTCTTTCTTTCTTTCTTTATTTCCAGTACTTCTTTCTTTCTTTCTTTCTCTCTTTCTTTCTTTCTTTCTTTGCACAACAAAACACAAAGATAACTGAAATCAGAGGAGTTGTTACAACAGGGGAGGAGCAAAATTCCCTAATTTAATAAAGGATGATAATGTTATTTGTAGCAGCTTCTGTTGGAGGTACGGTAAGCAGTATACAGTAACTGTTAAGCGTGCTACCCCTCTTGTTTACAACTCGTTGGTAATGATTTACATTTTATAGCCGCCATATATGTCGACCCTACTATGGAAAGATTTTTGTAAGCGACTTGTACACCGAAATTTACAGTACTTTCTTTGTTAACTGAATAATGACAAGACGAAATTTATAACTGTTAACAGGTTTTTGTCACGATAATTCTGTAATCTTTTGCCTCAACTCAATAAACAATAAACGATTTTATTGTATGTAAAACGATTCTTTATGAAAAATAAATAAGTTTAAATAACCTTCAGCCAACACTGTTCACTTAGGACGACGGTATCAATCTTTAAGTAATGTAGCCAAGTGTGACGTGGCAAGAAAAAGTATCAGAAAAATCCCGTAAAAACAACCGCCGCCATTTTTTTTTATTAGAACGCATGCGCATTACGTGTTGACTGAGTGAAAAATTGGACGACATTATTTAAGCATTTTTTTCGTTTTTTTTTTTTTTGTTTTGTTTTGGTTTTTTTTCTGTAGGAGATAAAGTCTTCAAAACGCGATCGATTTTAATGAAAGATAAACCAAAAAACAGAAACCGGAAAATATTTTTAAAAAAATAACTGAACCAATTACAAACACTGACGGTAATAAATTAATCTGTTTTAAAGCAGAATTCAATGCTGCAGAGATGAGTGAAAATTAACCTTATCTAACAAAAACGAAAAATCAAGAAACAAAAACCATAAGAAGCTAAAAACTAAAACAAATCATCAAAAATGTCGTCGGTGTTATACACAAATGGGTATAGATCAAAAACAATCAGCCACAGACGGGCTAGCTAATAGAGAAGAAAAGACAAAAATCGTTGAATATGAAGCGATAAATAAGCAGAATAAATAAATAAATTAACGGTCATGATTTAATCTCTTACTGGTGGCTCCAGGGTCTCTCCTTATGTCAGACTAATCTAAGAAGAAACTTACGACAGTGCTGAGGTTAACGAGCTAGTTTCGAAGTTGTGAAAACGAAACTTACTCGACGCTACAATTCAAATCTTTTCCCATTATGTTTCGTTCTGGAAAGGTAATGACCAGTCTTGCCTCGCAGGCTATACCGGGATTGAACACAAGTCCATCTGCTCAGTCGACGATCCAAAACGGATATATTGCACCGTGCTGATCTAAGCTTTCTATGAGATGCTTGTTAAAATTACAAACTTGTTTTTTTGAAAAACAAACCCACAAAAAACAAACAAAAACAGGCGTCTTTAGATAAAAAAAAAAAGATGGCCACAGAAACTGTTGCTCGCAAAACACACGCACACCCACACAGACAAATATATATAGATTGGATAATTTCGCTCTTACAAAATTTGGACAATTTTGCTGTTACATCGAAATATATATATATATATATATATATATATATATATATATATATATATATATATATATATATATTCCGGATGTAACAGCAAATTGTCCAAATTAATTGGACAATTTTGCTGTTACGTCCGAAAATATAATATATATATATATATATATATATATATATATATATATATATATATATATATATATTCCGGATGTAACAGCATAATTGTCCAAATCTTGTAAGAACGAAATTATCCAATCTATTCACTTTATTCACTGTGTCAACTGAATTTTACAAGGATAACTAAAGAGATAACGAATAGACTGAGATCGAGGCTGATTAGACTGAGGTAGATAAATAGATATAAGCAAGAGATAGATAGATAGATAGATAGATAGATAGATAGATAGATCATCATGCTAGTTGTCGAGAAAGAAAGAAAGAAAGAAAGAAAGAAAGAAAGAAAGAAAGAAAGAAAGAAAGAAAATGACCGAGATAGATAGATAGATATATAGTAAAAAGGAAAAAAGAAAATGACCGCGATAGATAGATAGATAGATAGATAGATAGATAGATAGATAAATAGAACGAAAGAAAATGATAAAGAAATAAAGAAATAAAGAAAGAAAGAAAGAAAGAAAGAAAGAAAATGACCGCGATACATAGATAGATAGATAGATACAAAGAAAGAAAGAAAATGATAAAGAAAGAAAGAAAGAAAATGACCGAGATAGAGATAGATAGATAGATAGATAGATAGATAGATAGATAGATCATCATGCTAGTGGTCGAGATAGAAGAAAGAAAGAAAGAAAGAAAGAAAGAAGGATATAAAGAAAGAAAGAAAGAAAGAAAGAAAGAAAATGACCGAGATAGATAGATAGATAGATAGATAGATAGATAGATAGATAGATCATCATGCTCGTGGTCGAGATAGAAGAAAGAAAGAAAGAAAGAAAGAAAGAAAGAAAGAAAGAAAGAAAGAAGGATATAAAGAAAGAAAGAAAGAAAATGACCGAGATAGATAGATAGATAGATAGATAGATAGATAGATAGATAGATAGATCATCATTCAAGGCACTTTTGAAGGCGGACTGGGGGCGGTAAGGCAAAAACTCAGAGAAACTCAGACAACATCAAAGAGTGGACGGACACGACAATACCTGAACTCCTGAGAGCCACCGCCATCTGGAGGAGATTACCTGTTTCTTCTGCCCTTAGGTCCTCGACAAAAACTGGATCAGTTAAGACGATGATGATGATGATGATGATGATGATGATGATGATGATGATGATGATGATGATGATGGTGACCTTCATCGCTCATTTTCTGGTCATGACTAAGATTACCGTCTCCTCATAATCCATTCTCTTTACGTGCTGTGCGAAGTGGATTTTACAAGCATAGATAGTGAGATAATGAATAGACTGAGATTAAGACTGAATAGATTTAGATAGATAGATAGATAGATAGATAGATAGATAGATAGAACGAAAGAAAGTGATCGAGGAAGAAAGAAAGAAAGAAAGAAAATGACCTAGATAGATAGACAGACAGACAGATAGATAGGTAGATAGATAGATATGAACATACTTAGATAGATAGATAGATAGATAGATAGATAGATAGATAGATAGATAGATAGATAGAAAGTGATCGAGAAAGAAAGAAAGAAAATGACCTAGATAGATAGACAGACAGATAGATAGGTAGATAGATAGATATGAACATATTTAGATAGATAGATAGATAGATAGATAGATAGATAGATAGATAGATAGATAGAAATTGACCAAGATAGATAGATAGATAGATAGATAGATAGATAGATAGATAGATAGATAGATAGATAGAAAAAAGAAAGAAAGAAAGAATAAAGGAAAGAAAGAAAGTGACAGAGATAGATGTAAAAAAAAATGTAAAAATAAAAGGTAAACAGCACCATAATGTGAACTGACATGATAATGCCGGAACTCATGATGGCCACTGCCAACAGATCATCCTGACGGAAGTTGCCCGTTTCTTCTACCCGTAGGTTCCCGCCAACAATTGAATCAGTCACGAGATGATGATGATGATGATGATGATGATGATGATGATAACATTCTTTTTTTTTCCGTATTTTTGGTACATTTTTTTACTATATCATTTCCGTTCGTCACACCTGAGAAAATTCACAGCCACGTTCTTTTTTTTTTTTTAATGTATCAGTTATTTTTGCCTCTTCATTCATAAACTTTCTGCAGTCTTTTTTTTTCTCTTTTCCTTTTTTGTGTCATTCCTATTTCTTTCCAGTCGAAATAATTTGCTGTATTCAGTCATTCTTAAAGATAACCTTGTTTCACTTTTAGATTAATCCGGTCGACACTATCAAACGTTTTCTTTTTTTTTTCTCCTTTTCTAGCGTACTGAAAACTGTTTGCTTTTTTTTCTATCTGTTTTGCTTTTAATCATTTTAACAAAGCAAGGAAATAAAGCCACTAAGACGCAAGGGATTACGGAATATGAAAGAACCTGAGAAAAATCATTATTACGATTTTTTTTTTGTTTTGTTTTTATTTTTGTTTTTGTTTTTTTTATTTGTTTTTACGGTTTATCAAACTTTTACAGTTTAGGTAAAGACAAAAAATTTAGGTAGATAGATAGATAGATAGATAACGTACAGATTGAGATAGATAGATAGATAGATAGATAGATAGATAGATAGATAGATAGATAGATAGATAAATAATGTACAGATTGAGATAGATAGATAGATAGATAGATAGATAGATAGATAGATAGATAGATAGAAAGATAATGTACAGATTGACATAGATAGATAGATAATGTACAGATTGAGATAGATAGATAGATAGATAGATAGATAGATAGATAGATAGATAATGTACAGATTGACATAGATAGATAGATAATGTACAGATTGAGATAGATAGATAGATAGATAGATAGATAGATAGATAGATAATGTACAGATTGACATAGATAGATAGATAATGTACAGATTGAGATAGATAGATAGATAGATAGATAGATAGATAGATAGATAGATAGATAATGTACAGATTGACATAGATAGATAGATAATGTACAGATTGAGATAGATAGATAGATAGATAGATAGATAGATAGATAGATAATGTACAGATTGACATAGATAGATAGATAGATAGATAGATAGATAGATAGATAATGTACAGATTGACATAGATAGATAGATAGATAGATAGATAGATAGATAGATAGATAGATAGATAGATAGATCACGGTTCAAAAAATCAATTATAGATAAAGATTTCCACTGGTAAAAGTTCTACTGGTCAAACTGCAGAAGAGATGTGGATTTCTTTTCCATACTAAGGACATTTGCGCGTAATTTGTATGTCTGTCCACTGAACAATAATAATAATAATAATCACGTCTGTCCTTACTCCTTTTTCGAAGCAAACAGCATTCTTCCACTGGAACAGAAGGGATGCAGGAGAAGTGCATATGGCTGCAAAGATCAACTACTGCGAAACAAAATGATCCTGGAAAATTGCAGAAGATGATGTAGAAATCCTAGCGCAGCGTGGATTGATTATCGTAAAGTCTTTGATAGTGTGACACACTCTTGGATCCTTAGGACTTTGGAAATGTACAAAGTCTCCCCTGGGGTATTAAATTTCCTTAAGTACAGCATGGGAATGTGGAGAACCACACTATACCTTAGTCACACCAGAGGCACTGGCATCTCCAATCGTTTGAATATCCGAAGTGGAATCTTTCAAAGAGACTCCTTGTTTCTCCTTTCCCTAATCCCCATTAAGCATAAACTAAACAACAGCAGCTATGGTTACAAACTAAACAAAGGTAATCGATCACCAACTCTACATGGATGATCTCAAACTCTTTGCCAAAGACGACAATGAGTTGAAAGGCCTCCTCAATATTGTAAAATACTTCAGTGACGACATAGGTATGGACTTCGGATTAGATAAATGTGCAAAAGTAACATTCAAGAAAGGTAGAATTACAGAAACACCCTTAATAGATTTAGATTTTGTCACAAAGATTAGGGAACTGGAGCATGATGAAGCTTATAAGTACCTAGGAATTAGCGAAGGAGATGGCATACAACACCCCCAAATGAAGGAAAAAATAAGAAAAGAATACTACAGGCGTATACGTCTGGTACTACATACAGAGCTAAACTCAAAAAACAGGATATCAGCCATAAACACATTGGCTGTCCCTGTGGTGCAATACAGCTTTAATATCCTTAACTGGGCCATAGCTGAAATTAAGCGAATGGACGCCAAAACGAGAAAGATTCTCACTTGCTATCGCATGCATCATCCCAAAGCTGATGTCGATCGTCTGTATATGCCCAGATCCGAAGGAGGCAGAGGATTAGTTCAACTAGAACTGTCCTACAAAACTACAACAATTGGCCTCCAAAGATATTTGGAAACTACAGACGACTGGATGATGGTATGCGTCAAGGAACATGAAAGTAGTAAGCGTCTTTACTCCGTAATGAATGAAGCCAACAAATTCAAAATGGAGTTTCAAATGGGCGTAGAGATGCAACTACAGCACAATACACCGGCTGAAACTGCAAAATACTTAAAAAAGACACCAAAGACGAATGCAAGATAAATCACTTCATGGCCAAATAAATAAGAAAATATTCAATCACCTACTCTACATGGATGATCTCAAACTCTTTGCCAAAGACGACAATGAGTTGAAGGGTCTCCTCAATATTGTAAAATACTTCAGTAACGACATAGGTATGGACTTCGGATTAGATAAATGTGCAAAAGTAACATTCAAGAAAGGGAGAATTACAGAAGCACCCTCAATAGATTTCGACTTTGACAAAAAGATTAGGAAACTAAAATAAGATGAGGCCTAAAAGTACATCGGAATTAGCGAAGGAGAAAGTATACACAAATGAAGCAGAAGGCAAGAAAGGAGTACTACAGGCGTGTGCGTCTGGTACTAAATACCGAGCAGGATTCAAAAAACAGAATATCAGCCATAAACGACTCGGCTGTCCCTGTGGGGCAATACAGCTTTAACATCCTTAATTGGATCATAGCTGACATTAAGTGAATGGACGCCAAAACGAGAAAGCTTCTCACTTGCTACCGCATGTATCACCCCAAAGCTAATGTTGATCGTCTGTATGTGCCCAGATCCGAAGGAGGCAGAGGATTAGGTCAACTAGAACTGTCCTACAAAAATACAACAATTGGCCTCCAAAGATACCTGGAATCTAACAGAAGTCTGGATGATAATATGTGTCAAAGAACAAGTTCAAAATGGATTTTCAAATGGGTGTAGAAATAAAAGTAAAGCCCAATACACCGACTGAAGCTGCAAAATACATAAAAAAGAAAGTAAAGACAAATGCAACCGACCAGATACAGAAAAAATAGTCAGATAAACCGCTTCATGGCCAATACTCTGCCCGTACCCAATAAGTTGATGTAGACAAACCCCGTACCTATTAGTGGCTACGTAGTGCAAGGTTAAAAGCTGGAATTGAAGGTTTTATCCTCGCTGCACAGGACCAATGCTTCTTAACTAGGAATTATCAAGCACATACCCTAAAATATAGTGTTAGCCCCAAATGCAGGTTCTGTGATAAATACCCAGAAACAATTGATGATCTTGTATCAGGTTGCACGATGTTGGCACCCACAGAATATAAAATCCGGCATGACAGAGTGGGCCAATATCTGCACTGGAAAATTTGCAACTTCCACGGGAAGGTAACTAAAAGAAATAGGTATGAACACCACCAGACCAGGTTACGGAGATAGGACATGTTACAATTCTATGGGACTACAGAATACCCACAGACAACAATCAGAACTAAAAGACCAGCCATTGTTATTAGAGCCTGCAAACAAAAAAAAAGTGCCTCTTTATCGATATTGCACTCCCTGCAGACTGCAATATATCTTTGAAGATTTCCAAAAAAGCTGTCAAAATATAATGACCTTGAAATCGAAATCTCAGAAATGTGGCATATGGGAACATCAACAATCCCTGTTGTAGTTGGAGACCTCGGATTTTTGGAAAAGATTCCTGGGAGCCCATGCCTTAAAGAAATACAAAATAATTCTTCTCACGTGTACAGCTCACATCTTACGAAGGGCTTTATCTATGTAAAATATGTTTGTGTGTGTGTTTTTTGCTTTTGTTATTTTTTTTTTAATTGGTCAGTGGAATCTGTCATGATGCCATTTCTAACCTTAGGTCTCTGAGCGTGACCCGGAAGGAAATGTGTAGATACGAGAAATCAATGGAAATAAAAATAACACTAATAATTGTTATGAAAACCATCCAGACCCGATTACAGAGATAGGACCTGTTACAATTCTATGGGACTACACAATACACACTGACAGAACAATCAAAGTCAACCGCCCAGATATTGTTATTAAAGACCACAAACAAAAAAGTGCCTCCTTATTGATATGGCAGTCCCTGCTGACTGCAATGTATCTTTGAAGATATTCAAAAAGCTATCAAAATACAAGGACCTTGAAATAGAAATCTCGAAAATGTGGCATATAGGAACATCAACAATCCCTGTTGTAGTTGGAGCCCGAGGACTGGTTGGAAAAGATTCCAGTAGACTAATTGAAGGGATTCCTGGAAGTTTCTGCCTCAAACAGATACAAAAAATTGTTCTCATAAGTACAGCCACTTTACGAAGGGCTTTATCTATGTAAAATATGTTTGTGTGGGTGTATGTTTTTTTTATTTTATTTTATTTTTTCAATTGTTCAGTGGAAAATCTTATGATGCCATTTCTAAACTTAGCGGGACCCGGATGGATATGTGTACATACGAGAAATCAAAGGAAATAAAATAACATTAATAATTGCTATGAAAATGATTCAGAAACGATTGATCATCTTGTATCAGGTTGCACGGTATTGACAGCCACTGAATATAAAACCCGGCATGACAGAGTTGGCCAATATCTGCACTGGAAAATCTTCAACTTCTACGGAGAGGAAACTGAAAGAAAATGGTATGAACACCACCCAGACCCGGTTACGGAGATAGGGTCTGTTATGATTTTATGGGGCTTTACAATACACACTGACAGGACAATCAAATCTACTCACAGAGACATCGTGATTAGAGAACGCAAAGATAAAACGATCAAATCAACTCACACAGATATCGTGATTAGAGAACGCAAAGATAAAATGATCTAATCTACTCACACAGACATCGTGATTAGAGAACGCAAAGATGAAATGATCAAATCTACTCACACAGACATCGTGATTAGAGAACGCAAAGATGAAATGATCAAATCTACTCACACAGACATCGTGATTAGAGAACGCAAAGATAAAAAGATCAAATCTACTCACACAGACATCGTGATTAGAGAACGCAAAGATAAAAAGATCAAATCTACTCACACAGACATCGTGATTAGAGAACGCAAAGATGAAATGATCAAATCTACTCACACAGACATCGTGATTAGAGAACGCAAAGATGAAATGATCAAATCTACTCACACAGACATCGTGATTAGAGAACGCAAAGATAAAAAGATCAAATCTACTCACACAGACATCGTGATTAGAGAACACAAAGATAAAAAGATCAAATCTACTCACACAGACATCGTGATTAGAGAACGCAAAGATGAAATGATCAAATCTACTCACACAGACATCGTGATTAGAGAACGCAAAGATGAAATGATCAAATCTACTCACACAGACATCGTGATTAGAGAACGCAAAGATAAAATGTGCCTTCTTATTGATATAGCATTCCCTTTAGACTGTAATGTATATTTGGAGATCTTCAAAAAAATATTAAAATACAAGCACATTGAAATGGAAATCTCAAAAATGTAGCACATGATGACATCAACAATTCCAGTTGGAGTTGGAGCCCCCGAATTGATTGGAAAAGATTCCAGTAGACTCTTTGAAGTGATTCTTGGTAGCCCATGACTTAAAGAAATACAAAAAAATTTTCTCACTAGTCAACTCACAACTTACGAAGGGCTTTATTTATGTAAAATGTGTGTTTTTTGTTTTTGTTTTGTTTTTTTTCTCTTAATTGCTCATTGTAAAACGTCATAATGCCATTTCTGACCTTAGGTCTCTGGTTGGGATCCGGAAAGAAATGAGTATACACCAGAAACCAAAGGAAATAATAATAATAATAATAATAGTAATATAGTTCCCTTATTTTAGAAAAATGATTAGTGAAAAATGTCATGACGCTATTTCTGACCTTAGGTTTCTAGTTGGGACCCGGAAGGAAATGAGTATACAACAGAAATCAAAGGAAATAATAATAATAATAATAATAATAATAACTGATCCGATTGGAATTGGAACAGCTGAGTTTACCGCATCTGGTATGCCAAAATGGTCACCCATCTAGGTATTGACCAGGCTCGACGTTGCTTGACTTCGTTGTTTCAAAATGACATGGCCGTAAACAATGAAAGGGCATGATTTAAGGCGACAGAGCATAACAATTGACATTCAAACTTTTAGAAGCTCAATGTTCACTTGAAACCGGAAGATAGTTGCACAAGCGAGAAGTGCGAGATAAGAAACCGTTAGCATAGAACTTACGGTTGCGCGAAGCCATTTCAACTGTAAAATGATGACACCGAGCTGCCAATATATTTCTGCGCTTGGGCACCTCAAGGCGGTGTAATGGTCAGCAAGCTTGTTTAGCTAGAACAATTACGACTGAACAGTGAGTTCGATCCTCACTGAGTGCCCCCTACTTTCGGCCTTGTGCCACATCTAAGCTACGCTTGGAAAATCACTATATTTCTGCGCTTACGGTCGAAAAGTCTGGGTACCACAGAGGAAAGCTTATCCCAATATTTATTATGAAAATATTTATGGAAAAGACACAGGAAAGCTACGTTGCGATTGGAAAGTCACTGAAGCCGAGATGCCAGATGCTAGACAGATGAAAATGCAGAGTCTTCTTTGGATTTTATCTTTGAATTTATTTTTGTAATATTCTTTGGGTATCATTTTATTCCGATGAATTACTACAAGACTAAACGCGTCATATGAAAACTTTTCTACACTGGTATAGTTTTCTATATAATGTATATATCGTTTTCCTATATATATATATATATATATATATATATATATATATATATATATATATATATATATATATACACTCTGATGTAAATTAACGGAACCACGGCCTTAGTTCCGTTTCTTTCACCTTACGTTCAATTTTATACTCAGTGGAGTGACAGGGTGTAGTCGATTTCCATTTTTTCATCAAATTAGTTCATTTGCAGTTGTGTCCAATAATATGAATCTATTTTCGGGGTGTATGATGAAATTTGTTTGACCTTGAAAAATATTGCGTCATCCGTGATTGCATCAGATTCTTATCACGCGAAGGCACTATTGTCTCGACTGTCGATTAGTTATCCTACGGCCATTGACTGCGATGGACGTTACTCCAAGGAAGCGTAAGAATATTCTAACGCTGCACGAAGACAATGGCAAGCTTTGTCAGCCGGCAAATTAAAGTACTGTCGAATGGCTTGGAAACTCTCCTGATTTAAATCCAATCGAGAATCTGTGGTCAATCTGTAAGGAAAGACTTCATGCAATGTACATACGAAGTACTAACATGGGCACTGGGTCATGTTTCATTGGAAAAATACGAAAAAAAATAATAACTGCACTATTCATTTTGTTTCAATTAATTTGCACAAGGAGATAGATAGATAGATAGATAGATAGATAGATAGATAAAGAAATATAGTTTTAAGGTGTGCTATATTTATGGAATAAAGTGCACAATATCAGAGATAGAGCGTGTGTAAACATAAACGGCTTGAAGATTGCGTCTAGCATGAAACAGACTGTCGCCTCTAAGTGTTGACTTCTATGTTTACTTTTTTATATATATATATATATATATATATATATATATATATATATATATATATTTATATATATATATATATAAAGTTACAAATGTTAATGGTCAGAGTTGAATCAGACCACTAAACAGTAGTATTAAAAAGTGCTCAATACACGTGTGAAAAATTAAATGTAAAAGTAAAAATAAAATGTAGAGCTTTTATACAATAATAGACAATAACAAATAGACAAAACGCCAGTAATTTCAAAACTAACGCGCAGCAACATATAGTTGACACTAGTAATTAATGCAACTGTAGAAATAAAAATAGATGTCCATTAGATGGAGCTTGAAAAACCCAAGCAATAATCTAAAAAGCAGAATGTCCAAAATAAAATGTTCATAGGATGTACTGAAAGTAATTTCAAACATAGATGCTACAACCATAGGTCGTCATTCAAACTAGTAAGTCTGAGGTATTCTACCAGATTTGCTGACCATGTGTAGAATGTAAAAGGAAAACCAATAGGGATCCGATTGTAAGCTGGAAAATGTTTCAAAAATGCGAAGCCTTATGACAATCACAATAATATTTGCAATCTTTACCAACAAGAAAAATTAGTAATAATGACATTTCCGAATCCAAAGACCTTTTGAACCAGAAATCCGATACTTGAGTCCTTGTATACATACTAAAAAAATCTTCTTAAGCACATATGGGGCTCGATAAAAAGAAAGTACATTTCAATTACACCCCCAAACCGATAGATTTATAATACCCTTGCTTTTCTTCTCTTCCCACTTCTTCTTCTTCTTCTTCTTCTTCTTCTTCTTCTTCTTCTTCTTCTTCTTCCTCCTCTCCTCCTCCTCCTCCTTCTTCTTCTTCTTCTTCTTCTACTCTTCCCTTTAAATTATACCCAACGCGTGCGTTTGTTTATTTATTTTTGAAAATAATATCGCAATTGTTTTTAAAACTAAAGCGTTAAGAAGTCATTTGATAAAGATCACATAGGATACCGTAATGTTGAAACTAATGTAGTGGACTCAAGTGATCTCCTAATTTTTAAAGTATATATATATATATATATATATATATATATATGTATGTACTTCATCAGCAGACTGAATGTTTCGTTGTATCACAGCTATTCAGTGTGACTAGATGTCTGATTGCTTCAAGCTTCTAATCCTAGGCTATCGTCGCACGGCAGAGAGGAAGAGGAATTTTAACGTTTTCTATGCGAAATACATCTGTGGACCGGAGAGCTCAATTCACTTTGGTTATATATATATATATATATATATATATATATATATATATATGTATTTATTTACCTTCTCTTCATATCTCTCTATCTGTATATCACAATCTATCTATCTATCACAGTCCGTTTCTATCTATCTATCTATCTATCTATCTATCTATCTATCTATCTATCTATCACAATCTGTATCTATCTATCTATCTATCTATCTATCTATCTATCTATCTATCACAATCCGTGTCTATCTATCTATCTATCACAGTCCGTTTCTATCTATCTATCTATCTATCTATCTATCTATCACAATCCGTTTCTATCTATCTAGCTAGCTAGCTATCACATTCGGTTTATATCTATCTAAACACACACACACACACACACATATATATATATATATATATATATATATATATGTGTGTCTGTGTGTCTGTGTGTGTGTGTGTCTGTGTCTGTGTGTGTGTACTAGCGGGGATGTACAGTGTTGTTCGGAAGATGTCTGAATAATAATTATTATTGACAATTTATTGATATTTTTCAGCCATCTTATGGAAAATATTTTTCATTCAATCTTTAAAATTAAAATTCATTGTTTTTTTTTTTTTTTTTTTTTTTTCTTTTTGAGGGTTTGCTACAAAATAACTAAATTTGGGAAATACCACACTACCACATTCGGGCTGGAGGGCACCTCTTAGGGGGGGGGGCTGAGCATCCGCATATTTTTATTCAAAAAGACATTTTAGATTTCGATTTAAATACTACCATATATAGTTTGTCAATGTTGGTTTCAAATAATTGAAACTTAGTTAAAAGTTCATTAACCTTTTTTCAAGTTATTATTAATAAAGAGTTAATAAATTAAGATATATTTAAATATATTTAATTTAATCATTTTTTTTCAAGCAAAATATATAGCGAGCCGTACTTCTTCGAAAAATAATTATTTACTACTTATTCAGAAAGGGAATTAAATTTTTTTAAGTAAATAAAGTTTTACATTTACACATTAATTACTAACTATTTTGAAAGAGAATAGAAACAAGATACATTGAGAATTTACTTTTGAAAAGCGATTATGTTTAAATTTCAACTTATATATGATTTTGAAATGTTAAATAAAAAATTATTAGAGACAGAATGAATATTTCTTTTATGAATTTAACTATATTTTCTTTAAATTAATATTCGAAAAAATAAGGCTCGCTATAGGTTTTTAACTTAATAACACTTAAAAATTGAAAATTATTTAATATTTTTTTATGTTAGTCACAAGCCAAAAAAGAAAAACAATGAAATCTATTTTTTAAAGATTGAATAAAAAAAATTATTTTCCTTAAGATGGCCGAAAAATATTAAAGAATCAATAAATACACAAACACGCTCGCGCATGCGCATAGAAACACCTGTCCTTTAGGGTGAGAGTGAGTCTGGATATTTAGTTTGTAGCCGGAGACACAAACATACATTTTTGAATAAATAAATATTAAACGTTTTGTCAAATAATTGTATTTAATATTCTTTTTTTTTTTTTTAATTTTCTTTGTTGTAATAATATTCATTTTTTTTAAAGTTATGCTTTTATTTACTACAGTAATTCGTGACAACATAGATTTATATACAGACTCATTATTACCCAAATCATCGTTTTGCAAAAACTTTTCACCGTAAAATTTGTATTTACGAAGGTATTTAAAAATTACATCGCATTAGAATACATTCGAAATTCTCAGAATTAAAAAGTAAAAACGAACGGTAATTATTCTCATGCCTGATTAGGATTATCGTTCGTTTTTAATTTTGTATTCTGCTAAACGCTATACATGTATATTTATATATTTGTAATTATTATAGTTTTAAGTTTTAGCCGGGCAAACGCACACACACACATACACATATTTGAATATTAAAATTTTTGTCAAATAATTATATTTAATATTCTTCTTCTTTGTATTCATTTTCATTTTTTTTAGTTACGCTTTTATTTACTACAGATGTGAAAATAAACTGAAGAGACTACAAATTTTAAAAATGTATGCATGTATAATGTTTAGCAGAATGGAAAAGTAAAATCGAACAGTAACCCTAATCTGGAATAAGAATTATTACCCTTCGTTTTTACTTTTTAATTCTGAGAATTTTTAATTCATTCTAACGCATTTTAATTTTAAAATATCCTCATAAATACAAATCATACAATGAAATATTTTTTTTACAAAAAGATGGCTTGCAAGATAATAAGTCTGTATAAATATCTACTTTGGCAGAAATTATTGTAGTTTCTTTTTTCCAGACACACACACACACACACACACGCACACACACACACACACACACACAGACAGACAAGTTCCCTTTTTATATGTATATATAAATATATATATCTGTATTCATGTATGTCTCCTCGTCTCCCTCTCTGACTTTGACGCGCTGGGTGTATCTGTTACATGCAGTTACTAATCTATCTATCTATCTATCTATCTATCTATCTATCTATCTATCTATCTATCTATCTATCTCTCTGTGTTCATATCTATCTATCTATCTATCTATCTATCTATCTATCTATCTATCTATCTGTATATCCATCTAATTCCCTTCATATCTCCCTATCTCTATCTCTGTCTCTCTCTATGTATCTCTTCCTATCATTATTTCTCTCTCTCTCTCTCTCCATATATATATATATATATATATACATCACAGTCTACATATATCTATCACAACTTATTTAGATCTATCTACCCAATTCTCTTCATATCTACCCCCTCTCTCTCTCTCTCTCTCTCTCTGTTTCTCAGAACCGGCATATAGCCTGACGTGCCTAAACCGATTCGGCCACAGAGGAAGGTTCGGTTAGCAAGGTCTTTAAACTACAATCTTCCATGATTCTCTCACGTACATTCATATCTGTGTACATTCATATGTGTATCCAAATGTAAACAAATGACGTCACACATTATGAAATGGACAAAGTCCGACAATTATATATCTCACAGTCTACATATATCTATCTACATATATATCTTCTATGATTTTTCATGTCTCTGTATCTATATAATTCTCTTCATATCTACCTATCTCTCTCTCTCTCTCTCTCTCTCTCTATATATATATATATATATATATATATATATATATATATATATATCACGGTCTACACATATCTATCACAGTCTCTTTGTATCTATCTATCTATCTATGACTGATCTTATGTCTATTCGTGTATGTATATATATATATATATATATATATATATATATATATATATATATATACAGTTAGATACATAAAAAGATAGCCTGTTTAAATCTATCTATATATAAGTCTGTCCATATCGAAATATCTCGGCCTTTTCATATCTATCTATCTATCTATCTATCTATCTATCTATCTATCTATCTCGGCCGTTTCATATCTATCTATCTATCTATCTATCTATCTATCTATCTATCTATCTATCTATCTAAATCTGTTCATATCCGTCTCAGCCTTATCTATCTATCTATCTATCTATCTATCTAAATCTGTTCATATCGGTCTCAGCCTTATCTATCTATCTATCTATCTATCTATCTATCTATCTATCTATCTATCTAAATCTGTTCATATCCGTCTCAGCCTTATCTATCTATCTATCTATCTATCTATCTATCTATCTATCTATCTATCTATTTCGGCCTTTTTATATCTATCTATCTATCTATCTATCTATCTAAATCTGTTCATATCTGTCTCAGTCTTTTCTTATCTATCTATCTATCTATTTCAGCCTTTTCATATCTATCTATGTATCTATCTACCTACATCTGTTCATATCCGTCTCAGCCTTTTCTTATCTATCTATCTATCTATCTATCTATCTATCTATCTATCTATCTATCTATCTAAATCTGTTCATATCTGTCTCAGCCTTTTCTTTTCTTTTCTATCTATCTATCTATCTATCTATCTATCTATCTATCTATCTATCTATCTATTGTTTTTGATGAATCATCTCCTGTCATTGTTACCGCATCTATTTTCTGCCCGAATTCCTTCCATATTTCATTTTCCTTCTTTTTTTCTTTTTTCACTTCCGACGTGATTAACTTTCATAATTTGTAATTTTTTTCCCTAATTGACCGCAATTCACCTCCAGTTACGGTTGGCGCTAATTAATCTTCGACGTGACATTTAAGATCTCATTACATTTTGCGTAGCACTCGGCGAACATCGACCTCGTTTCATTTCAAAATACGCCAATAATCATGCGAATTTGATTTGATTTTTTGAGGCGAGAAGTTAGATTCTAAGGCGAATTACAATTGAAATTGGATAAAACTATAACTAGGAATCGTTTTCTAAGCACTGACATTCATGTATAATGCGCAGTGAGGTTACACTCAGATAGAATTCGAACAGTTTTCTTTCGCTAGAGATCAAGTGACGTGAAGTGTCCAAAATAGTCCAGGACTTTCCTTAGTATTCTTTATTATTATTTGGGCTGTGTTCTTTATTATTTAATCTCATTTATTTTCATAGCAGAAGTAACAGGTGGATTTCATTGGAGATCAAGTGATGTCAAGTCTCTTCAATACTCCAGCACCCTCCTCAGTATTCATTATTATGTTTTCGTTTCATTGCGGATTTATACAAAACAGTAGATGATTCTAAATAATGAGTGACACGGTCAAAATACTTCAAAGAAAATATCAGAACAACCATGAGCTTGGTGCATTTTATCCACTACTTCGATTCTGTTGCAAGGTTCTGATTATAGTGTTGTTATAGTGTTGTTTCCATAAATATAGTTCTTAGCCAAAGGTCATTCAAACCGCCAGAACCAGACCCTGTGAAATTTACATTATTCGGACTATTGTCCTCATCTTTGTCACCATATTTATTACGTTTCGACCGTTGTACACTCCGGCCTTCTTCAGTTGGTTGGAATATCGAACTGAACTCCTTATTTCGCTCACTGGGTAAACTGTTCTAGTTCCACGTGCCATGTCTAATGGACATCAGTTATCAGTTATCTCCTTGACACATGACACAGTGGATAAAGGCGTTGTTTAGATCCAGTGACAGGACCCAAAGAGTGTGAGTTCAATACCCGTTTAAGGCAGCGGAGAATTTGGAGAGGGGGATTAACAAGGAGATAACTGACATCAATTAAACATGGCCCGTGGAACTAGAACAGTCTACCCCAGTGAGCGAAATAAAGGGTTCAGTTCGACATCCCAACCACCTGAAGAAGGCCGGAGCATACAACGGCCGAAACGTTGTAATAAATATGGCGACAAAGATGAGGACAATAGTCCGAATAATGTAAATAGTCACTTGAATCTTTCGATACATGACTGACGAGGCAGTTTTTTTTCCCCGCAGTAGGTTGCTATTTCTTTCTGTTGTAGACCAATTGCCATCCAAGGATACAGAACACGGTTTGTCCTGCTATTTACCCATAGCTACAGGGAGAAGAGAAGGATTCATATCTTTTCCAAGTTTAATTATAGTCAAGTTATTGATAAGATAAGGGAAGTCAACCCTCCGCTTCTCAGAATTTGCCCTTGGATCTAACCAACGCCTTTATCCACTGTGCCGATTGTTATAAGCTATACAACTTATAATGCTAATTGCTATTTAATAACAGCATTGACTAACCTGAATAAAGTTTTCACTAATTTTAGAATATTTAACAACTTTAATGACAATATTATCCATATTCATAAAAACAACTAAAAGCAACTAAAAAGCATTTGAAATTAAATATTATCTTTGTTTTATTTACTTTTGTATATTACAATTCAGAGCTGATTTTCAGGTAGGGGGGTCCAATTAAAAACAAAAAGAACATGATGTGCATTCCTGAAAGCCTTGTGAATCATTAAACCTGAGGCGACCGAATTTCTAGCGTTTTCATAAAATTCCGAAACGCTGTAATAAATATGGCGACAAAGATGAGGACAATAGTCCGAATAATGTAAATAGTGTACATAATACCTCATCTCAGAAACATAGACAGATACTGAAAGGCCGAAACGTTGTAATAAATATGACGACAAAGATGAGGACAATAGTTCAAATAATGTAAATAGTGTACCTAATACCTCATCTCAGAAATATAGACAGATACCGAAAGACCGAAACGTTGATATAAATATGGCGACAAAGATGAGGACAATAGTCCGAATAATGTAAATAGTGTACAGAATACATCATCTCAGAAATATAGACAGATACTGAAAGGCCGAAACGTTGTAATTAATATGGCGACAAAGATGAGGACAATAGTTCAAATAATGTAAATAGTGTACCTAATACCTCATCTCAGAAATATAGACAGATACCGAAAGGCCGAAACGTTGTAATAAATATGACGACAAAGATGAGGACAATAGTCCGAATAATGTAAATAGTATACATAATACCTCATCTTAGGAACATAGACAGATACTGAAAGGCCGAAACGTTGTGATAAATATGTTGACAGAGATAAGGACAATAATCCGAATAATGCAAATAGTGTACATAAATCCTTTTCTGTAGATGTTAAGAATCGTTATGAAATGCTCTCTGATCAATCTGATGACATTGCAGCACAATGCAAAAAACCTTATATCATCTACAGAAGAAATCACATTCTCAAAACATCCAAATAGGGAAAGGTTACAATATAACCGTATCAGTTCAGATGTCTGTGTGAGAAAAACAAGAGAAAATGTGCAAAATTTGAAACCGCGTTTTGAATACAAGTTAATTAGAAGTACTTTTAAAGACATTACTAAATCCCAACGGATACTAGATGAGGCCCAGGTAGACGCACTTCACATCCAAAGGGAGATCGTCAAGACTGAAAGCATACGGAGAAACAACATGCTGCAAGTTGGAAAACAATAAACATGCTCTCAGGAAGAAAATCAAAGATTTCCATAAGGCGGTTCCGCTGAAAATCATGAAAGTAACTGATTTGACCACTTTAAAAAACAAAACAAACTCCTGCCCTGGGAGAACCAACGTATGTCACTCTGTCTTACACTTCCAATATATCAAATAACGGATACATTGTACATAAACACTAACCCCTTCACGCTCGATGAACTCAAGACAACACTCAAAGATTTTGCCAACAGCAAAGTTCCAGGTCTTTACAACATACCAATATTATTGTAGAAAGATCCAATATTAGAGTTTTACAACCACATATTCATACACCATTCGCCGCCTTCACCTTGGCTGAATTGCGCAATGGTCCCTGTTCCACAAAAGAGCGTTCTCACAAGTGCAGGAAACTATAGGGTTTAATTACCAATTACAGCAAAAGTTTATAATATGATTCTTCTAAATAGGATTAACTCTACAAGAGACCCACTCTTCCGCATGAACCAGAATGGATTTAAAAGAGGCAGGTCAGCAACTTCTTAAATCTTCGTCATACCGGGAGAGATGAAAAAAATTTGTAAAAAAAAAAAGGTCACAATCAAAAAAGGTCATAATCAAAAAAAGGTCACAATTTGGTTAACTTTCGCAAGACGTTTGATTCCATCATTAAGAGATCTCAGGTTCAAAATTCTCCAACTCTACCCTCCAGAATTGTTGAGCCAGTTCAAGCTCTCTATAGAAATACCACTGCCATCATTCTATCGCCTGATGGCGAGATTGATTCTTTAGAAGGTTCTACAAGGTGACGCACTGGCTCTTTTTCTGGACTATGTTCTGAGTATTTCTCTCGACAGCATGGACGGAAAAGGACTCTTTTTGAAACCTCCCCAGTGTAGTCGGTACCCTCCACAATACCTGACTTTGCTGATGATCTTGCATTAATTTATCAGTGTATCAAGTATGCAGAATCCTTGCTGCAATCACGCAAGCAAACAGCAAACCAGATAGGTCTCTATTACAACAAGAATAAGACGGTATATATAACAACCTCCTCTGAACTATTCGAGTTGAAGTCATTCATGAACACAGACATCAAAAAAGGTTTACGACTTCAAATATCTTGGATCTCACATAATAAATTCCCAAAAAGTCTTCAACATCCCCAAAGCTCTTGTATGGGACGCGGGTAACAAACTTCACATGATTTGGCGCCCGAAACTTCCATACTCCTTAAAAAGTCCAAACCTTTCGAAAATTGATTGAACCAGTCCTTTTGTCTGGATCAAAAACATGGACATTATCTGATCGTCTTGAAAGAGGACTGGATGGAACATATACAAATCTACTTAGAAAAATCCATAACATCAGTTGGAGATCCCATGCAACGCTGAACACAATTTACGGAGAACTGAGACTAATCTCTCTTAATCTCAAACAAAAACGATTATAGTTTGCCGGTTATTGCCACCAAGTGGACAGGGAAATAGTCTCATCCTTACTCCGATGGCATCGTTCTGGAAATGTCTTCTCACGAAAATTGACTTTCACAGACTCCATAACTCAGGAGTCAGGGTTTGACATTGAGAATCTGGGGACAGCAATGAAGGACTGAACAGTGTGGAAAGGAATTGTCAGTGGAGTTCCGACCAATTATAGAGAGGTTGAAGAATGATGAGGATGATGATGGAATCGTTATCGGAACAAGAATAATTTAATCGCAGTTGATTAAATAATTTACAAGGCATTACATAACGTCTTGGCATCCTTTTTTGTTATTTTCCGATCTCTTAATAAATTGCATAGTTTGTGGAGGAAACAAGTGATAAACCTCTTCTCCTGTTCAAAAAGAAAAATCTATATTCCTGTTCATACACCTCGCCTATTTTTTGAATAAGAGTAGAGGTTTTTTCCATTGTTTCCTGTTTGGGTTTCGCGCTCAAACATTCCATCCTCTTTTCGAACATTGATTGGATCAGTCCTACTGTATGCATCATAAACTTGGGCATCATCTGCTCGTCTTGAAAGACGACTGGATGGAACATATACAAATCTACTTAGAAAAATCCATAACATGAGTTAGAGACCCCATGCAAATCTTAACACAATTTATGGAGAACTGAGACTAATCTCTCTTAATCTCAAACAAAAACGATTACAGTTTGTCGGCCATTGCCACCGAGCGGACAGGGAAATCGTTTCATCCTTACTCCCATGACATCCCTC